ATCATGACAGCATGATTATGGCTGGCTTAATTTTATTATTTACTTTTGCTATTGTTTTTCCCCTGCTGTCTAAAAAACCTGTAACTCATTTTGGGTCACTTTGAGAAGTGCAGCCATATCCAAGACACACACACAGACATTTACACTGATCCGCCTTGTTTCACAGCTCCAGTGAGTCCTTCTTGAAAAACCCGTCTGGAAACCCGCAAACAGACAGACAGACAGAAGGATGGAACAGAGAGGTGAAGAGAGCCACAAAGCAAAATAGGGGAAGAGAAAATGATTGAAAAGGAGTCAAAGCTGATTCAAAGGCTGATAAAAGCATCTGTGATCAACACGCACCTTCTCTTTCATGTCAATGGAGAGCAGAGGAATAAATGATAGCAGGTGCGAGATCTGACTCAAAGCCTATTGGACTAATTCCGTGTTCCAATCAATGTGGGATATTTCTACTAAATATCACAGACTTCCAACCATATCAGCATTCTGTTGACCGAAGACTCAGAGCACATAAAAAATGCCCATACTAGCATTTGTTTTGCAGGTGTACGAATATTAACCGGAAGGAACATTTACCCTTTTATACACTTGTCTCTGCAAACATTTGCCAAACAGATTTAGTGTCAAAACATTCACTCACTGATGCATTTGTTTCCTCAAAAGTGATTGTTTATCATTAACAGAGTGCCACCATGTTCATGTGACATCATACATATCCTAAAAGAACCAGTAGTTTAATCCAAGTCTGAAGCAACATGATCACTTTGTGTGATGAACAAAGCAACATTAAAGCTTTTCTAGTTGATGCTGTACAAGTTGATTTTGAAATATACTGTACCTACAATCAACGTATGAAAAGAGAATGAGTGATAATAGGAGACGATTGGATGAGCAACACGATCCAGAAAGAGATTATTACCCAGTGTGTTCATGCTGTTCAGAGTGAAAATTGTGCCACAGACTGTGATGTCTATGGACTGACAGCTAATAGTACAACAGATGTCAGCACTTCAGAACAATTTCCTTGCAGCCTTCAGTATGCTGACAGTAATCTTGAGTCACCCGTACTCATGCAGTCATTGAGTGTGTGACCCAGAAAATGGAGAGACTAAAGGCCTTAAAGGAATAGTTCATCCACAAATGAAAATTTGCTGACAATTCACTCACCCTCAAGCAATTCAATACATAGATGAGTTTATTTCTTTATCTGAACAGATTTGGAGAAATTTAGCATTACATACCCTGCTCACCAATGGATCCTCTGCAGTGAATGGGTGCCATCAAATAAAAGACCAAACCGCTGATAAAAACATCACAATAATCCACAAGTAATCCAAAGCAATATTACTGATAAGGACTCATATTTTAGCCACGCAGAAGCAATGGTATGAAGTTAAAAATGTCTTGATGGATTTGTTTATAACAAACATCAAGTGTAGCATGTAGCGTTAGTTCTGGCAGGTCACGTGAGTCACGCGTGCATCAGCTGACTCTCAGCTGATCCGTGTCTACCTATAGGGATACGACACCTATCACAGCACCCATATATAAGATCCTTCAGTATTATCAGCAGCTTTTGCATTGCTCAATAGCCAGTGTTGCGGAGTAACTAGTTACATGTAACGGCGTTACGTAATTTCATTACAAAATAAATGTAACTGTAATCAGTTACAGTTACTAAGAAAAAATGTGTAATTAAATAACAGTTACTTATGAAAATGTTAACGATTACAAAGGGGGTTACATTTGAATATTTACACACATCCACATACAGATTTAATTGATTTATTTCCCAAATTGCACTGACTACTCTGAGACATACGGCCCTATAATTTCCGTAACTGTAATCAGTTACAGTTACTAAGAAAAAATGTGTAATTAAATAACAGTTACTTATGAAAATGTTAACGATTACAAAGGGGGTTACATTTGAATATTTACACACATCCACATACAGATTTAATTGATTTCTTTCCCAAATTGCTCTGACTACTCTAAAATATGAGACATACAGCCCTATGATTTCCGCGATGCGGAAAACATGGACTGGTTGGAATTCCTATAACGCGGAAATGTCACGGAACATGCAACATTTGGATGAATAAATCAAAAATAGGTCAGTACAATTGAATCAAAATGTGATATGGACTAGGGTCTGTAAATATTCAGCAGCAAAAAGACAATATATGAATGCTGCACGTTCTGTGTGTCTCTGTGGATATAAGCGCACAGGTGGAGCAGAGAAGCAAAATTACTGTTCAGGATTTCAAGTGCAGGTCAGTTTCGTCTGTAAATATGCTATAGTTTTGTCTTTGTTTACTTAGTTAAGCAGCAGCAGCCCATTGCTCATCAATCATCACTCAAAATACTGTATACTAAAGGACATCATTATCTACTGTAAAGTTACAGTAGTAATTTAGCAGACAAATAATCATAT